TTCCAAAAAGGCTGTGACAAGCAGGGGCACAGGGGCAAGGGGAAGGGAGATGTCTGTCAATGCAATGTTACTGATATTTTGCCTTTCTCCTTGAAAATGTATTAAAAATCAAACATTCAAGCTGTCAGTCTCTCCAGGAAATACTGAAATGAAGCCTTTGCTCTAAACACATAGTGAGTAAGACACCACCGTAGCATAGCTGGACTTTAGGAAGAGCGCTAGACAGGAGAGAAGAGGTAAACTTGTTTTCAGGACACCTTGAAACAATGATTTGAGTGCCCTCACTACCTAAGGAATGAGGCAATGGGAATGTTGGCTGGCATTTTCTGGAGTATGTAGAATCCAGATCTGGGCAAACATAGCTTTGAATTAGAAAGAGGTAAAATTCACATACTGATTTTAACAGATTTCAAACCAAGGTACCAAACCAAGGTACAAGGATGCATAAAAAACAAGAAGGCTCGTTCTTGGAATGAACATGGTTGTACAAGACCAGCCCTCATCCAGGACAAGGAGCACCCAAATAAAGACCTTGATCCAGCAGACTCATTCCTGATATTATCAGCACAGTGATCAATGCCAAATAGTTTGTAAGTTCAGTTCCACAAATCCCTGTTATGAGAAAGCCTGRGTGTTCAGTGGAAAACTGACCCATGAGAATTGGGAAGACCTGTTTAACACCTAAAAGAAGATTATTTTCTGCTTCTAATTCCATCACAGTGCATTTTTCWTGCAATGTTCAGCACTGAAATAAAAGTGAAAAAACTTCACCAGGCGTGTATGTTCAGTCTTGCATTCTGTTAGAAACAGCTGGAGGAAAAATTACTTCATATTAGGAAAAAAAATCAAATCCTTTTAAGCCATTAAGATAATCTGGGAAGTTATTTTGGATCCATTAGAATGATCATGAAAATCTGCTTCTACTAATGAAAAAAGAAGCATGTCAGACAGTTAAAGAGGTTAAATCACTGAAGAGCAGTTTTGTCAGACCTTCACATTGGTTAGATTATTGCCCTGACAAGAGAGACAGTTCCAGGCACCATAATTCTCACTAGAGTGAAGTAGWTGAGTGAAATAAATGAGTTGTTCAATGTGTTCTGTATGATTCKGCATGTCTCTAGGAGGTCTCCTGGATACTGGCAAGCCTCAAAACCAGAGAAGCACCAATAAGCAAATCCCAGAAATCCCAAATCTCAACAACTGTAAAGAAACCCTCAGAAATCAGGAACACAGGGAAAAGAAAACACTGTCCCATGGCAGACCTGACAGAGAGACCAAAGTCATGTGGAGTTTCCCATTTCCTTAATGCCTGAGGCTGTGATGCCCCTGAGAGAGGTTTCAGGGGAGATGTTAACTCCAGGAATCGCTGGGAAAGAAAAATGCCAGGGTGTCCCTGATCCCAGCAGGCAATAGGAATTTGCCATGGCAATTTCTTTGTTCCCAGCCCCTCCCGTTTGACTCAGGAACCTGTTTAATATTAACCCCACTTCAGAGGCCTGGAGGGGGAAGTACCAGCAGCAAACTTGGGGTCAGGGCAGGCAGACAGGACAGGAAAGGCAGCAAACCCTGCAGCAGAGTTAATACTGCCCCACACTTGCATACAAACCCATCTCCTGTTCTTCTCCAGAGCTTTCTCTCCTGGAAGCACCCACTGGCTGCTTCCAAACCCCATCATCACTATGATCAGCCATATATCACACTGCAGAAATCTCCTGGGAACAATTTCAGAATGTGGGTATGCACAATACTGTGGTAGTGCCCTCAGGGAGCTCTTTGAGTGGCCCCATTTTGTCTCAGAGACGTACAGGTTCGTGTTGGAAAGCTGAGCTAAAAATCCAACAGGGTTTAATGGATAAAATGGTGAATCAAGCAAAACATCTTTACCCCTGATTTACCCAGTATGACAGGAGGAACTTGGGGGTCCCACTGTGTAAGATCACTGTGAGATGATGCTGAGAATTGGAAACTGAGCAATCAGCTTGGTTACTAAATCATCTTGCCTGATGGTATGTCAAAAATATGATGGTCCAGATAGATTCCTACAATACTGCAGTCTTTCCAGATAGATATAATAGAAAATAAAATTATGTCACTATAAATTGTGTGTATTYCTAAAAAATGTTATTTTACCTACACATTTTCTTTCCAGTACATCTGGCTACCCATCCTCCCAGGAAAAAGATATTGTTCACAAAATCTTCAGCATCCATTTATGGTATCTGAGGATGCAATCCATCATTCCTGCAATTAAATTTCCTCCAGCCTGGGTAGCAGAAGTCAGAGGCAGATTGTCTTTGTAACTCAGCAAGTTTTGTTTGAAGTTTCCTTGGCTGTGTTTAGTTGAAGAGATTGGAAGGATGTAGAGAATAAGACACAATTTGTTACTGCTGGGTTAAACAAAAGTTGTGAGAAATTTCTTCTGAAAGGGACGAGTGTAAAGTGCGAATACTGCTTTAACAACCTGTGTTTTACAATTTCCTGATTAATGGATTGCAGTAAAATCAGTTCCCTGACACTGATTACTTCAGCAATACATTAGTAATTACTTCAGCTAGTTTTATGTCTGCATGGRAGCTGCACAGAATCATGTCTTTTAACCTGTAAATCAATTCCTTCATGGCCATCTAACCCTCAATTCTGATGTTTTCTGGAGGATATAAATCTGAAACATTTACAACACCAGTACATTAGATATTGAAGTATCATGGTTTTCTTAGGAGGGGACAAATATTTATGAATTTTACTTATGTTCAAAGCTGCCCTTGAACTGCTAGAATGGATTGTGTATGGGAAAAGACTATGAGAGTTTTTTCTATGAATTCAACTTGAGTTCTTGGTGTAGCCAGGTGTCTGCATTGTTAAAAATGTGGCCACAACCATCTTAAGACCTGCAGCTTTCCTCGCTGGAGAGGCCAAGAGCTGGGCAAAGCTCTCACCCTGAGAAGAAAGAGCTTTAACAGCTGCATTTGGCAAAGTTGCGGGGGAGGCATGAATGTGATTCCTCTGCTTTTTAGGAACAAGCACAAAGGGGCTCAGTCTGTGAAGGCATTGTTTTAGCGAGCAAGGAATCCACTGATTAAAAAAAAAAAAAATCTAATAGTGAAGGAATCTGAAAAATGAGAAAAAGGAGCGAGGGGAAAATCTGGCTCCGCACGAACAAAAATAATCCCAGCAGCTTTCCCAGCCCTGCCATGAAACAGCTCCCTGCACGCTGGGCTGGGAGCAGTTGTGGAGCTCAGCTGTGCCTGTGGTTAATAATAAATAGACTCTCTTGGCCAGCAGTCCTGGCCAGCACACCCCCTCCTYCKCCTCCTCCTCCCTGCCAGGCACTGCTCCAGCACCCACCCAACTCCCTCCATGAGCCGGACAGCYCGAGGTAAGGGACACCAGGACATTGCTCCATGGGCCGGACACATGGGCCACAGGGGAGGGGACCAGGGACGGTGTGGAGGAGGGAGGAGAGCGGCTCTGTGCTCCAGCTGCCTGCAATTCGAGCTACRAATCCGCAAAGTTTGGTTACGAGGCAAAAGGTCCTGTGGGTATTGCTGCAAAACTTGCCAAGCTTTGAAAATCTGTGAGCCAGCTCAGGCTGTTGGCTGARCTTCCCGTGAATATCAGCTCAGCCCTGTTGGGTTTCAGCTGGTGASCAGCTGGGTTTATCCCCTGSCCAGCACAGCTTGGGCACTCCTGGYTGTTCCCTCTCAGAGTTTGGGGGGGTTTTTAAAATTCAGAGCACAGCTCAGCCCATCCCTGGCATCGTAACCCTGTTGGCTTAATGAATTTATTCCAAAGCTGACTTTGCCCCAGAGAGCGAGGGGTGTGTAGGCACAYGCACAGCAATAGCAGAACATTTGCATGAGCCCATGAACAGCTCAGGCTGCTGAGCTTAGCACAAAAAGGATTTGGAAAGGGGAAAATGTTAATGTTTCAGTCAGGTGTGCATTGTGTCTTGTTGATCCAGGCCCACATTTCTTGAATAACACAGCCCAAACTGTCCTGCATTGTTGGAGTCTTTAGATTTGGGCAAATGTATTGTCCCCAGGTATAACAACATAATTTTTTGTACAGCTGTAGTGCCACAGACTACAGAGAGAGCAAAGCCATGTTCTGCTAAGTGTAATACGAACACTCTACTGTATTTTAATTAATTTGCCATCTGAATTAACAATGAGCACAAAGGACTGAGGAAGGGAATCCTTTCCTCCTAGTGAAGGGGTGAGGAATGGGGAGACTGGAGGGATATGGCCAAAAACCCAGGGAAAGTATGTGAGGCATTGAGTGAAACTGCCCTGAGGCTCAGACCAGACCACTCTCTTAACATTTACAGCTCTCTCCCCCTCGTTCTCTGTTTGGGAATGAATTTAATTAGAGTGAAAAGGAGTTGCTAAGAGACCAGAGGAGTTCTGGAGTTTGTTGCTGGGGCTGAATTGCCTCTCTGCTTCCAAGGCACTGAGCTAAGAAGGATGATGTAACATGAGCCTGCATAAAGCACTCCCGGCTCTGGGGAAAGCTGCTCTCTCCTCCTTGCAGTTCCAGTCTGGTTTCTCAGCTCCTTTTTGAGCTGCTTATTTTCTCCCAGACTTCTTAAAAAGACGAGTTCATATCCCCTTATAGCACTATTCTGCCTTGTAGATTCCTCCTTGAGAGGAGGTGGCAGTGGCTGGGTCTGAAATCTGTCATGAGCAGGTCACTCTGGAATTTAAAAGGTTTCCTACTCCAGAATTCTCTCTGGTTTGTCACTCCCCATGCTTTTCTCTGCTCCACCACGATTTCAGCCCAGCATTGACAATGGAAGGGTGACCCTTTCCAACTCCATTTCTGCACTTTAACATTTTGTTTGGACACCCTGGCYCGTGCTTGAAACACCAGCAGATTCCAGGCAAGGGCTGTCTGCCTTCCAAGGTCAAGGCAAGAGCTGATAAGTTTCACTTCTCAGGGTCACATCATTGCTAAATTCCATCTTTCCTTTCCACCTGCCTTCTGTTATCTCAGGGCCATCCATATGCACAAGATGATTAGGAAGATAACCTACAGCTTGGGAAGACACGTGTCCTCCATGGCACGTGGAGCCACCCAGGTGAGAAGACTTCTGCATGGTGAGTAGTGCATTCTGAAACAGCTCCTTGGTGGAAAGCATTTTCCTCATCTGAATTCAGCAGAGACCTTGCTGGCAGTGTTCTGGGAGCACAGCAAAGAGCCAYGATAGCCTTGATGTACAGTAGTCTTAAAATATATTGGGTTACTATGGTATCCTTGGTGCTTCCACTGTTTTAAAACATATCCCCATCTTTAGGCATGGTGGCAGGGCTCAGTTTTTTCACAATAATGTTCAAATAATGTTACTGGAGCCWGTGACAACACAACTGCAAAAGTGGTGGCAGAGGAACCTTGAGTGAAAGYGATGAGGATTGTAATTCATATTAACAGTAGAGATATTTGGCGCACATTTCACTTACATAAAACACAGCTTTAGTCTCCTCCAAGTTATTTGTAAATTCACCCCAAAGAACAGCTGAAGAGGGGGATAAACTTGTTGTGATGACGACAGTTTGCTCTTTATAAAACAGCTCAGCAGTTACTGCAAATACCCACGCAAATAACTCACTTTTCCATGTTTATTCCCAGGTGCTCATGTCAGGATCCATCCCTCTGTGCAGGAAGCTCTGGTGGAGGGSAGGCCGGTTGTGGCCTTGGAAAGCACCATCATTACCCATGGCATGGCCTATCCTGTCAACCTGAGGTGCTGCATTTTGATGTTCCTTGCTCAGTGAAGTTGTGAGACTGAAGCCATAACTCACTGCATTGATATCAGTATTCTGGTCAAGCCAAAGCTGTTGAAAGAGCAAGTGGAAATGTCAGGTTCTTAGGCATGCAAAATAATAGGAGCTCAAGTGTAAAACCATTTTATTAGGATTTTTAAGGACAATTATGGAAAGCCCAGTTATCTCCTTATCAAACCCCTTAAATTTCTGGCTTCCTTTAAAATGCAGTAGCAAATAATGACACCACTCCCTCTAAAAGAGAGCTATCAGGCTTTTCAGCTTTACAGACATTGAGAACACTTTGCAGTTTCTTTTCCCAGATCTTTTGTAATGCAAAAAGGTTTGAAACACAATAGGGAAATCTGTTCCTTTACCCACTCAGAGCAGTTACTGTGAGAGCTCCTGGTCCCTTCTTGATGTCTTCTGTACCCTGCATGGACSACCCCCCACACCTCTACTCTTGATATTTATTGATTTTCAGTAGATTTATGTTTCATTGAGTTACAGGGCCAGAAATTGTTGCACTCTCCCCTCTGTCCTTGCTTGCAGAGARCACAGAAAGGTTTTGGTATTGATTTTCCATCTTGCTTTTTACCTGGCTGTTATTCTGCCTAACATTCTGTTTTGAAATGAAGCTCTAAAAACTCAGTTTTGGGGAAAAGATGGYTTCACTAGTTAAAGATTGCCTAGCATGTGTCCAGATAGCTCAGAAARGAAGAAGAAGCTGTTCTTTAAATAGATAGTGTATGAATGATCAACACAAAATCTGCTAAACTTAGAAGGATTTAGTCTAGAGCCCTGGGATAACCCAAGGCAGCAGCTTTTGGCACTGTTGTTACTCTATATCTGACTCTATTGTGAAAAATATATTCTGGTCATTTGAGCAGGAATTGCAGTACCTGGGGGTTCTGTGAAGGTCTGTGATGTCAGAAAAATAACAGGTAAAAGATACAGAAAAGGCCTATTTTGAGAAGTTCTCTAATATAGGCTACTGTACAACCAGATTTGCTTGTAAACCAAATTATTTTTCTCAAAAATGAAGCACAGAGCTTGGACACTGYAGCTCCTCTGTTTCAACTAAAATACTTTAAYTGTGCRCCTGAGTSCAGCTTTTACTCCCATAAATTTCTACAACAAATAGCAGGGCCCAATAAATTATGATGAAAGAAGAAAATAAGAAACTAAGAGAGTGGATGAAAGGGGGTGGTAAACTATGCTGCTGAAAACMAGCTAGGTTCAAGCAGAAAGCTGAAACAGTAGTAGAGATCACCAAAAAAAATTGAACCATGAGACTGAAGGAAGCATTTTAAGTGTCAAAGTAAGGACTTTAAATCTGGCTCTTTACCTTGGGAAAAAGAAATTAAAAGTAGAATTCTCTAAGCCTTACTCTTGCAGCTTAATCATCTTTAAAAATGGAAGTTCTTCACTTCTGCAAGTTCAAGTGCAAAGACTTGTGCCATGAGGCAGATACAAGAGGAGCAGGACATAGCTGAAATCACAAGAACTGCAGAACTGTGAATGACAGCCATCAGACACGACCATTTCCTTGCCTTATTTTGTGTCTTGTTTGCTTTATTTTAGCATGGCCAGAGAGGTGGAAGAAATTGTAAGAACAAATGGAGCAGTGCCAGCCACTGTAGGTATTTTAAGGGGCCAGATCCACGTGGGACTCACAGAYGAGGAACTGGAGTTCTTGGCAAGCAGTAAAAATGCAGTCAAAGTGTCTCGCAGAGATTTTCCTTTCGTCCTCAGCCAGGTATGGTGTGCAGACTTTCTAGTATGGTCTTTCCCAGTAAAGTACAGTGCTCTATTGCTTTTTCTAGCAACAGTGTAATGCTCTCCAGCTTCCAAACCTCTCAAAAATATCATGGGAACTGGTATCTTATTGGTCCTGACTGGAGTAAAATTATGACAGAGTAAGGGAATGACRTACTGGAAACAGAGCTCCTGAAAAGTCACTCTGGGTGGGCTGGCAGGCCATGGGCACTTGGCTGAGAATATTCTTATTGGCATGATAAGACACGATCACATTGCATGTGAACTATGTGACACAAAGGCTGCACCAAGCTTAAAGTGACAGCTAAAACTGCCACGGGCTGCCCATGGAACAAGAACAGCTTATACASRTGATTCACAGAATCACAGAATATTCTGAGTTGGATGGGACCCACAARGATTGTACAGCCCAACTCCTAAGWGAATTCCTTTYTGCCTGAAATAATGTTTGTGTTTGAATCTCACTGGTCAGCTGTTCACATTGCTGTGTGTGCAGACATTGCTGCTTCTCCAGGTCCCCCTGGCTGCTGAATGTCACTGCTTGGTCCCCARCAGGGCTTGTCTGGTGGCACTACGGTGTCTGGAACGATGATWGTGGCACACAAAGCAGGAATTCCCGTGTTTGTGACAGGTGGCATAGGAGGTGTCCATCGGGAYGGGGAGAACAGTAAGAACATCAATTTATTCTATTTTTCTCTCTGTTGCTACAGTTTTATTTGATTCCTTCTTTCCCCTTTTGTCTGTCCTACAGTAGCTGTCTGTTCAGAAGAATAAAGTTAACATTCTTCTTGAGCAAACTATGGTTGTTTTCTCCCTGATGTCCCCTTTCCAGAAGCTTCAAAATATTCCTCTTGAGCCCTGGATAGTGTTAAGGGGGTGGAAGTTTCTCTTTATCCTTYGCTTACACGGGATTATATTGACATTGTTTGCTGATGCAACAGGAGCTSACTGCACCTCTCCCTCTTTGTAATGTCTGGATAACCTGATAMTGGCTGAGCACAGTGTTGTTATCARCTCKYTCAGCTGAGGAAAAGAGGAGTCTTGCCATAAAAGGGTGCTCGATATTAGAGGTGTGTGCTCCTCTCTGGAAAATGGCCCAGTCTTGGCTGTATGGTTGTGGTTTTGAAGTGCTTTCTCTCTTCTCATGTACTTCCAGCACAGCACAAGTACAGTGCCCTGTTGTGTGCCATCCATTTCAGATGTGATGTAAATTCCAGGCCAGGCGGTTTCCTTAGGTCAGCTCCTGTGGTACTTCTTTCTTTTGCGAGCATTGTCACTTCCAAATTCAAAATGTGCTTCAGTGATATTCCATCTTGAACTCCATCCTTGCTGTAAAACACCTTTTTCTTTCTTTTCTACCAAATTTTTGCTTGCTTTTTATCCATGTCATCAAAGAGACAAGAGACAGAGTGCAAGGCTGCACCTCTGCCCTTAGCCATGTGTCTTTTTTTTGTTAATATCTCTTTTAATCTCAACGCCTAAAGGCATGACCTAAACCTGTAATATTTACTCATGGACCTAAGCAGTTATCAATTCAAGCAGTGCCATCACAGCCAWATGTGGCTTTTTAGGTCAGATCTCATCAGTTTGGAGTAGAACACAATCACTAACACAGTGCTGCTTGTCCCTTGACAGCTCTGGATGTGAGTGCTGACCTGACAGAGCTGGGACGAACTCCGGTTGCTGTTGTGTCTGCAGGAGCCAAGTCTATCCTTGATATTGGCAGGACACTGGAATACCTGGTAGGCAGCATGGGCTGTGGTTTTTGGAAGTAGATAACTTCATTCTTTGTGCTCAGTGGCGCTGGGATGGGTCCTAAGCTGAAGATTTTCAGAAATTGCTGCTGAAAAGATGTGAAGCCGTATTTACAGTCCAGTAAAAGCTCTTGGCTGCTCCCTAACACAGATCTATCCATGTCCAAGGGGCTGTTGCAGCAGCTGTTCCAACGCAGGTCAAAGGTAGTCCAAGCCATGTCCTTTTTCTCTGGCTTTAGATTTGCTTTTCTGGGATGATGCTTCCACAAGTTGATGGATCAGGAAAGCTAAATCCAATGAACACTAAAATAAAATCAGAATTTAAAGGGAACCCAGATGATTTTCAGTGGTCACCTTTCAAGGTTTGGTCAGCACTTCAGCTGACACCCAACATCAGTATTTCTCAACTGCAAGCAGAACTTTTTGATATTCCTCTCAGATATCTCTGCCTCAGTGAGCCAGACCTGATCTAGCCATTTATCATGTCTGTCTTGTTGTCCTGAAATATCTTGATGAGAAAATGGGATGGGATGGGATGGGATGGGATGGGATGGGATGGGGTGGGATGGGATGGGATGGGATGGGAGGGGATGGGATGGGATGGGATGGGATGGGATGGAATAGAAATAGAATCGAATAGAATAGAGAATAGAATAGAATAGAATAGAATAGAATAGAATAGAATAGAATAGAATAGAATAGAATAGAATAGAATAGAATAGAATAGAATAGAATAGAATAGAATAGGAGTGGATAAAAACAATCAAGACCCATGCTCAAGAAAGGCAGTTTCTTTCTGGGTAGAAGGAAAAAGTCCCTTTCTTTAGCTGGCTCCCCTTTCCCTCCACTGATTACCTTCTTGTCTCTCCTCCACTGCTGCAGGAGACTCAGGGTGTTTGTGTGGCTGCCTTTGGAGAATCAAGAGAGTTCCCAGCCTTCTTCTCACGCCACAGTGGCTTCCAAGCACCGTATCACGTCCGGGATGAAGAGGAGGCAGCTAAACTCATCGGTGTGTTTCAGATGGCAAAGTTGTCAGGTCTTGGAAAAGGGGACACAGGAATCACCCTGGATGAGATGCTTTGTTTAAATCTGCAGAAAAATTTGCCCTGAAAAWTATGCCATCCCTCTTCCCCCATTCCTGCATCACAAGTGCTTTGAAAATACAGTGGCAGAGAAGTCCAGTCTGTGCAACAAGTACAACTGCAARCCAGCTGCAGCCAGCTTGGCATACTCATTCATATTTCATTCACCCTGGTGAAGTGGAGGCAACTCATAAAAATATATTGACCAAAACAGTTTCTGGGCCTTTGGAAGGGGAATCATTTTAAAAAARAAAAAAAAAAAAATCTTTTGCCCCATTTACTGTACAGATAGACACAAAATAAGCAGATGTGAATTGTTTGGTAGCTGGAAAAGATCCTGATCTTGGGTTAGCTAAGAGCTGGAGTTTGAGCTTCCTGCAGCCTGTGCCCACTGTTTTGTGTCCTTTTCCTTCAGCAGCTGGCTCTCAGGGAGAGGCACTAACAGTGTTCCCATCCTCCTGCAGACAGTGCTCTGGGGCTGGGGCTGAGCAGYGGGGTGCTGATAGCAGTGCCCTGTCCCCAGGAGCGAGCTGCCCAGGGCCAGGCCATCGAAGAGGCCATCCAGCAAGCTCTCAGCCAAGCCAGGTGAGCAGCACCCYAAGCCTTTTCCTTTGCTCAGCCCATGCTCTTGGGGGAGTAAACAAATTCAAGGGCACTGCTGCAGGAGCTGGACCCTAACCTTGGGTGTGGGTGACCCCAAAACAACTTTCCAACTCTAGCTTTATCTAACCCAAAGTGTGTTTGCAGGGCTTGTTGTGGTGTGTGGCTGTGGAGATTAAAGTGTCTGCTGGCASTGTAGCTCCTCTGATGCCACTGCAGCTCATCTGTGGGCTTTTGCTTTGGTTTTGCAGGTCCAAAGGAATCACAGGCAAAGAAGTGACCCCGTTTTTGTTACAGAAGCTCACAGAGTTAACTGATGGGAAATCACTGGATTCCAGTATCCTTTTGCTAAAGGAGGGGAAAAAGAAAGTGCTCCAGTATATTTCATGTCTCTTCTGACAATGCCTGGCAGAAAACACTGTCACTTTATTGACAGTCTAGAAAGGAGCAAACATTTCAGTATCTGCGAACAGATGAGAGCTTAACACCTCCATCCCGATTGTCTTTATCCCCTTTTCCATTAAAATTCTGAGGASAGCACAGATGGGTGGCCCAGAGCCTATAGAAATCCTCAGGACACTGTTTTTGGGGACATTGGAAAGTCTCTGGGCTTCCCAGAGCRCTGTGCTGCACATCCCATTGCCTTTTCCAACATTCCATGTGGTACAGAGAAACCTGGAGGACAAATGCACAGCCAAGAGAAATGCCAGTGTGGGATGTGGGAGAGCCAGACTCACATCCAGGCTCTGCTGAGAGCCCTCCAGGAGACCTGACCAACCAGGGCACAATGGTAAAGGCATTTTTGGATATTAGAGCTCTGTGCAGCCACAAAGCAAGGCTTTTAAAGCCTGTGTTCACAGTGCAATTGCTAAAAAAAAAAACATTGCTTAGAGTGACTTGGCAAAATCTCAGTAGCAATCTCATTCTGGAAAAGCTGACCAAGATCCCCTAAGGTTTTTAGGCTCTCTGCTATAATTTAAGTGCTTTACCTTTTTTTTTCTCTGTGAAGCCTTTGCTTCTATTCCCCACCTGTCAAAGACAGTTTTCCTCTCTGTGGACATTGGGGGAGGAAACATATAAACAAACAAAAAAAAAAGAAAAAAAAAGAAATAAACAAAAAAAAACCCTCCAAACAAACGAAACCCAAAACAAAACAAAAAATCTGAACTTTCATGTAGCACTGTAACCCACTGCACGTCCCCAAATGATTATGATATGGAACCTATCAAGTCCCAGTACATTATTTCCTGCTTTCTCCCTTTAAACAGTTCCTACATRAGCTTCTAACAGGTCAGACTCGCTGGTATTTTTCATTTTCCTCAAAGAAATGCCAAACAGACCTTGCACTGATCCAGAACAACGCCAGGGTGGGCAGCTGCATTGCAGTGGCCCTGAGCAARCTACAGAAAGCCAGAAGGAAGGGGAAGCTGCCTCAGCGAGGGGATGTGACCCCACCCCAACCAGTGAGTCCTCTCCCTGCCTCCATATGATGCCTCTGTGCTGACAGCAGCAGATAAATTTATATCTGTGCCCAAAAGTAAAATGTGACTCAGCCAGGGAGCAATCATTCTCCTTCACACTCTTCATTCTCCCTTTATTTCTGTTTTTATTCTTCAAAGATAAGGATRTGTCCTCTCCTCCTCCCCCACCCAGGTTTACAAGGAATAAACACTGACAATGGCCTAATCTCATTAAGTCTTAGACCATCAAGGCCATTAAAACTTTAATCACCTTTTCACCTTTTGCCATGCCCTTATGTCCAGCTTCAGCTCTGTTGCTCTTAGTGCCAGGGAACTTGTGACTGCAGGAGTAGACATGGAAGAGGGTGGGGAGGGATATTTTGAGCTGCTGAGCCATAAATATTTATAAATATATCTWTTAGTTGGCCTCCTGCTAACCATTGACAAAATCACAAGAGTTACAGCACATCCCAAACAAGATCTACTATAACCCTAATACTCTCTTCACTCTCTTGGATTTTGTGCCTGCCATGTAATTTACAGGAAATCTGTTTAAGGGGGTCTTTAGAGACATGAAAGATTTTCTTAAAACCCATTTGCAATAGGACTTGTCAAYCTAACAGAGGGCAGYGAYTCTAGAGKCARTAACCCAGCTTTTGATGAGAAAAAMCAGCTGTATGTCCCCAAAGCATCTGGAAACTTCCTGTTTGTGGAGCTGAACCACTTCTTCTGGCTTTGCAGGACAATAAAAAAGTGATCTGTAAAGTGTCACGGAGTATGGCCATTTCTCTGGGGAGGTTGTGAGAAACGACTGCATTTTCCTTCCCACTTTTCCCATTTTCTTTGCTTTTCTTACTTTTTTTTTGCTTTTCTTTGCTTTTCTTTGCTTTTTTGCACACCAATGCTCGATGTTTCTGAAGCCACCAGCACCCCTGTGAGCGCACAGTGACATCCCACATTGGGGCTGGCTGTCTGCAGGCACAATTCAACAGGCAACAGATAGAAAAGATTTTGATTCTTTCTGCTTGGGATTTTACAAACCTGTGTCCAGCCATCCAAAATAAACCCTGTTTTTAGTGCTGTGAAGGGGAGAGCTTTCAAAGAGGGTGGGAAAAGTGAGTAGGCAAAGCAAAGACCTGGAAACTTTCCCCTGAAGTCCTTCCAAACACTTTTTACCTCTTTTTTCCCCTCTTCAAGGTGGTGATTGGAGGTATCAACGTTGACTTTATAGCCAAGGCGCAGAACCCTGACATCCTGGTACTGTATTTGGAGGTTTTTTTTGTGGCACCAGTGGGTTTCCAGCTACTTTTACAGCAGTCCCGAGCCAAAGGGGTTGGGGGRAAGGTGTTAACCATGTTTAATATCCATGTGTGTGTACACACAGACCTGGGAGGTAGTGCTGGGTATTTAGTGTGTTGTTTAGAGTGCAGAGTACTCATGAAGGACTTGAATCTCATACCAAAAAAAAMCCCAAAAAACAAAGGCTTTAAAAATCAGAACATTTTAAATGTTAGCAGACTCCTTTTGTCTCAATTTRGTTTGAATGAGAAGCAAACAAGAAKCTGAAGTRGAACAAACCTGTGACTCCCCCATGCTGTTTGCGTGGCCAATTTTTGGCAGTACCAAGTACTGCAGATTGAGGTGGTGAAGCTTCCTCAAAAGTTTTATATTGTCTCAAATTACTCTGTGGTGGAAACCAAGGCAGGAAGCTTCTGCCCTCAGATGGGGCAGCCTGTGAAGACCTCTCAGTCATACAGAGAAAATGTGCTGGGCAAGCTGTCTGGGAGGAATTTGGCAATTTAATGATGCAGGGGCTGAGCAATGTTATAATGGTCAAGGGTGAAATAYGCTGTGGCATCAGTTATGGGGGCTTGCAAAAGCAAAAGTTCAGCTGTTTCAGCTGAGCTGCGACCAATTCCACCCAGAACCCACTCTCAGCCATCAGGACAATGAGCTGAGCTGTGCCCAAGGTGAATTGGCACTTTTTGGCAYGTCAGACATGAGTGTAGATCCCTGGACTGCCCATAGCATGGTGAGGGGGCAAAGGAGCAGAATAGATCCTGCTGGGAACAGCTGACAAGGGAAAAAGGAGGTTTTTAATGCTGCATAAAATAATGAGGTGATATCTGCCCTTCTGCCTTCAGTGAGCCCTGGAGCTCATGGTGCATGTGGCTAATACCCAAATGCCAAGCTGCAAGAGGATTTTGGGAACTGACAGCCAAAAGGCTCCTGCTGACAAGTATTGGGGTTAGGCACAGAGGAAAAGGCCCTCTCAACGTCATTGTTTTGGCTTTTTTTAAGACAGTTGGTTTCTCAAAGGGCTTGGCACCCAGCAGATCCCACCTTTACACCTGCTGGATTTGTTGCAGAGCACTGGGCACCACTCACAGCTCATGATGTCTCAGCAGGAAAGCAGCTCTGTTCTGACCTGGTTGTAATTCCCACGAGGGAATTCCTTTCAAGGCTATCCAGAAGCTAAATTCTTAATATGTAACTRTCTGACCTGCTGAGAAGGATGAACAATTTTGCTCAGAGAAAAGCATTATGGTTATAAATCTCTCAGGATACCCAGAAATTGAGCAGAGTAAAAAAAATCTCATTTTTACATTAAGAATTCAAATCTCTTTGGACATGGAAAAAGAAAGCTCCAGAGAATTTCTCAATTCTTCAGAAACTTTGCCAGAAAGCATCAACCCAGTCTTGTTTCAGATCACTTTTAGCAAACCCATYTTCACCTAAATTCTTTAATCTCAGCCAGTCCCACCCAAACACAAGAAGAGATACTTGAGTACCCCCAGACTTGGAGTTACAACTGAGTTGGCAAAGTGGGATGAAAGCCACTCATTTCTTTTCCTTTAAAACCAACTGCTGGTTCCTCTCTCACTGCACCCACCTGCTACTTTAAAGACAGATTTAGCATCTGCATTTCTTTTATTCCCTGTGGGGCTGTACAACAGCAGAGGTCACCCACAGCTGCATCCCTGAGCAGGAGGCTGCTACATCTGCTCTCAGGGCAAGGCTTGGATAAAAACTCCAGAAACTCTGCCTCTGATGTGTATGGGGAACTAAAAAAGAGGATCAGAATACCAGGTTGCAAAAGGAGCTGATGAGTATTTTCACCATTCCTGCAGGCATCAGTTTTAAAACACAGATAATGCAATGATATAAACTGCAGTTTGTGCTTATTGCTGATGGCAGCTAGCACCCTCTTTTAAGGTGAAACAGGGGCCAGTGTTCAAAGCCATGTTGTTTGACTTGCCTAAAAAACCATCCTTGCTCTTTATTTTGTAATATTGGGGTTTGGTTTTGGTTTATTTTCCCCTTGGCTGCCTCTATTACAGARTTAAAGTAGCCAAGCTCACTTTGCTTTTGAAATCTGCAACACTCAACAGGAGAGAGTTGCAGATGGAAACATCTTCATTCCAGATGAAGAAACATCTCCAGTACCAGGCAGCACAAGGAAATGCAAGGGAGGGGCATTTCTGTTAATGAGGAGTGGCAAGTGGTGCAAAGRTGGACAAAGGTTGGTTTTACACAGGCAGTTCTGCTCAGGTGGATTGAACAGCTTAGGGCCTGGAGAGCTGCCAGACAGAAAATCAAAGGTATCAAAGATTAGCACCAACTTTTACAAATTGCAGAAGCAGGGAGAGTCAGGGCTGAGAAAAAGAGCCTGGAGTTCAGATGAGAGTGATAAAAGATCGTATTTCAATGGGCTGGATGTGGGAGAAAGCATTGTGTGCAAAGGACAGATGGGGAAGAAGAACCCTTGGGGAGCTTCAGCAGGAATTTTGAGAATGCCCAAGCACTKTGATGGGTTGGGGGCAGAATGTGTCTTACAGTGAGATGGCAATACATTTTCCTGGTTAGAAAAGGGAGTGGTGTTTACAAGGAGAAAAATGTGAATTTGCAGGGGTGTTCCTGTGCACCTGGGCTGGTGTGGGGYAGAGACTGGGCCAGGAGCTTCTGCACACAGGCATTAGGGCTGTCTTCAGACATGGGAAATGTTTTTCAGGATTTTACAAAACAAGAGCTCTAAAACGGTTTGATAGTCAGATGAGGCCCAAATTGATCTGAGCACTTAACTGATGTCATTCTTCTGGCAGAAGAATTAGAAAGAGATGGGTGAGCGATTGCCTGTGTTCTCACAATTTGTCTGTTTGTGACAGAGAGGCAGATGGACAGAGGAGTGGAAGGCAGAGGGAGAGAAAAGAATTTGATAGCCACACATGTGCAAGAATGGTATTTTTAATGAGAGAGATGTTTGGGAAGCAATGGGTGAGTGAAAAAGTCTTCAGACTCTGAAACAAATCCTTCCATGAATTAAGTAGGGAGGCAGTACAGGCAAAGATAACGATCTCATTTGACATTCAAAGAGGAAAATAAATAAATAAATAAATAACTCCCACAAACTGCTTAAGGTGGGAGCCAGGTGGCCTGGAAGGCAGAGCCCCAGCAGCTTTGGGGTCACAGGTTGCTATGAGCAGGTGAATTTGGAAGGCATTCACAATGACTGAAACACTCAGTGGCCATTCTGGGAGTTCTTAGCCAGTTAGACCAAATAAACAAATCATGGGGAGATCAAGTGGGTCCCCCCTCCTTGAAAGCAGGCCTTGTCATGGAGATTGAAGGCAGTAGATGGCTCTAGAARTTTKTAAYRCCCTCARTCTGTGAGCTGGATGYCCTCTGCTCCCTCGGATTGCTGATYTCTGTTTCAGCAATACCAACTTCACATCATTATGGTGTTGTTGCAACAGCACCAAGCAGCCCTCTCAGTTTTGCCAAATAACAGGTTTTCTCTTCCAGGGCGGTGGGCAAACAAATGCTGGGAGAGTGAGACGAACCTTTGGCGGCGTTGGAAGGAACTTGGCAGGTGCCTGGTGTTGGCTTTGCRTGCCAGCTGTGATTTGTCCTTTGGTATTCCTTCCACAGCGGGAGATGGGGAATGTTGACAAGATTTGGGACACATTAGGCAGCATAGCAGTGGGCAGAGTGCCTGGAAAAGGCAGGGCCCATTCCAAGAAATAAGAGGAAGGGGGAGCTGATATCAGGAAAAGGAAGGCCCACAAATATGAAGTTAACTAGCACACAGAGCAGTAACCCCAAATCAAAGTTAAATAAGCATCAGAGTCTCCAATGGCTACTGAGCAGCCTCAGATTTAATTAATGCCAGGATGCAATCACTTTAGAACTGTGTTTAGAGCCAGAAATTGAAAGGAATAATCATAGCTCCAAAACGATAAGCCACATCCTATGGACAAAAGGAGCTGGGGTACAGGGGTTACTGGAGAAGAGAAAAGTCTGCAGTGCTTGGCAGTGGGAAAGGATCACACARTACCTGGRGCTCCATCACAAGCAGCAGCAGACSTATRTTCTTGTACTGAAGTTRACAGGGACAGATTACAGAAAGATTTTAGAATTATTCCAGCTTTTAGACCTTTCCCAATCTCCTAGCACAAATCTACCGTCGCTTCAGATCACTAATGAAGAATCTTAAGTGAAAAAAAACCCAAAAAATACCCCCGCCACCCACAGAGGTACAAATTGTGCAATTTGAAAGGAGAGAAGGAGGGGTTTCCCATTAATGCACTCAGATTCAGTGGTTCTAGTAAGATATCGAGGTGGGAACAGCAGTGTGGGAGGGCCAGCACCAGAAAATGCTGTGCTCAGAAGCAGTGTGGGAAAACCCACATGCCWGAGATGGGAAAGGAGAGGATGCCAGAAAAGTGCAGAATTTTCTCCCCCCTTTTTTTCTCCACTCCAGATGTTCCAAATAATCCTAAAATTCAGGGTGCTGGTTCAGCTCTCTGTAGGACACCTCACTCAGCCCAAGATGCTTCATCTTGAGCATCCTTCTAGGCAAGGACTGATGAGCATGAAATCTTTCAGGAGAGGGCTTTCCTAGAGCCACCCATCCTGCACAGGCTGTCACTGTGTTCACAGTACTCAGGATTTGTGAATAGCTTTTGTTTCCATTTGCTTTTTAGACTGTTTGAGCCGTCTGGGACAAGCTCCTCTCCTTTTGTCAGCTGTGGGGAAGGATGAGCACTCAGAGTCTGTCCTGCACTACTGCCAGCACATGGTACGTGGCACAGAGGTGGCATCACAGAAATGTGGAAGAGATGATATTACAGAGGGGAAGGACAGCATAAGTGACTGCTGTCTGCAGAGTGTCACCAAGAGATGTCACCAGCATGTCCTCAGGCCATCTGTGTGTCACACAAGSTGTGGGGAKGGGTGACWGGGGCAGKCAGGGCTGCAGACCACCCTTCTGTAACAACAGGAACACAACCTGTGGAACTGCACAGYACAGACCTCTCACTCAGTTACTAAAGGGTTGCTTTAACCTGTGGCATTTATTGCATTGCAAATGCTAAAAAATAGCCATGTGCCAGTGTCACCGAAAATCGGGAAGAAAATAAAAACCCTCTGACACTATATTGAAAATGATAGAGAATCAGGTATTACTTTATTTACTGGACAGGATGTGCCAAGGAAAATATTCCAAACACACATGCTTTTACAGGTCTTTCCCTCAAACTTTATCCAGTCAAAATTCATAGGGATGTATTGATTCAAAGTCCCTTGGACCAGAGCTGAGCAATGCCCAATATTCACTTTCCCATTGGACCCGAATTTCTTCATCTCTGATGTTAATTAGATTTTCATCCTTTGATTTTCTTTATCCAGTCTTTTCTGGACTGGATGTCTCCAGAGGCATCTGGGGTAGATGTTTGTAGATGGCCACTGATATTCTGTTGATGTTTCATTGATGCTGTTTATCTTTCTGGGGATCTTCTGGGCTACTCCCAGTCTGTTGATATGTTAAGCTCATGTCTACAGAGTGATGCTTCATCTTCTAAAAAAAAAAAACCCTTAAAAGAATATTTTTCCCCAAAGCAAGGTCAAACTAAGCTTAACTAGAGAAATAAATCTTAAAAGCTGTATTGTTTCCAGCCCTATCTAGACTGAGACACCTCTGAAATGCTGCTTCTGCCWAAGGAGAGCAGTGAGCTGGGCTGGGCACGGGGTGGGCACAGAGGAAAAATGACCCAGGTGTGGCAGGGGAGAGGAATGTCCTTGTGTCACTGTCCCCCCTGTTTCAGGACATGAGCGCCGTCCTTGAGCTGGAGGGGAAGAGCACAGCCACCTACTGTGCCGTGATCAGCAGTGCTGGGGAGCTCAGCGTGGGCCTGGGGGACATGGACATCCACCAGCAGATATCACAGCCATACGTACGCCACCCCTCGGGTTTGGGAGCTTTTCTGACCAGGAACTGGCTGGGCCTGTGACAAACACTGGTGACGTTTCTGCTGGGAGGGAGTGGCTGAGCACAGGGCATGGAAGATGGTAAATTAAACCCCAGACTTTGCCCACTGGCACAGCAGCATGCCAAGCTKCCAGAGCCCTCTGTTACTGCTCACCCAGATGGAGTTTCTCTCTGTTTCTGGTTTATAAGTATCACCACTACCATCATCCACGATATTAGGCCAGAATCCTCTTCATTAACTTGTCATTTTTGGCACCTTAAAGCCAGCAATAAATCCAGTCCACCTGCAGAAATTACAATTCTCCCTTTAGGGAAACACAGAAAGAAAAAWGGACAGAACGCTGCTTAAAGCAAGTTTTTCTATTCCATCCCCTTCCCAGCATCTCTGTGGTTTCTACACACTGAGCTGTATCAACAGAAACTGTTGCTCAGCACATCCAAACATTCACAAACATCAGGGAAGCATAAATGCAGCRGTGATTAAGGGCTGAAAGCCCCATCACTGCGCCCTCCTTTCCTGCTCAATCTTTTATTGACAGAACAAAAGCCTGTGCTTCACCACTGACAGCAACATGGAAGTTAAGTGCAATTTACTCACCAGAGGCATCTCCACGAGGTGGATGGAGCCTTCCTAGGGAATTATCTCTCTCTCTGGAGGGGCTCTGCATCCAGCTCTTGATGGCAGCGAGCARGGGAGGAGAGGGGGTAAATGGAAAAATCCATTTTCCTTAGGGAATCACCCTTTTAGGTTCATGGCTGCACCTAAGGGCTGAAATACAAGTTAAAATTTTATGTCAAGTCTGGCAAGGGATGGTTTTGTCCCTCTGCAGTGACTCAGGCTGTCTCTCCTCTATGTCCTGGTTTTTAACCAGGTGTCCCAGTTCCAGGAGAASCTGTGTCAGGCCCCGCTCATCTGCATCGATGGAAATGTTCCTCTGCCCACTATTGAGTATGTGTGCCAGCTAGCTAAGGAGCACCAGCTAGCAGGTAAGGAGAACCTGCCCTCACAGCATGTCACCCTGTGCCAAGGCAGGCCAGGCACATCCCTGCTGCTTGCTGGGGACACCCAGTTACTGTCTGAGGTGCTGGTTTGTCACCAAAACTGTGGGAAAAAGAAATACCCTCTGACACTATATTTGAAGTGATAGAGAATCAGGCATTACCTTATTTACTGCCCAGGAAAATATTTCAAACACACGTACTTTTACCATTTTTTCCCCAAAATTTATACAGTCAGAACCCATAGGGATGTATTGTTTAAAGTCCATTGGTTCAGAGTTGAGCAACCCCCAGTATTCAATTTCCCATTGGACCCAAATTTCTTCACCTCTGATCTTTTGGGCTGCTCCCAGTCTGTTGATGTATTAAGCCCATCTCCATAGACTGATATTTCATCACCAAAAAAAACTTTAAAAAAATTCCTTTCCCCAAAGCAAAATCAGACTAGAGAAATAAAATAAATTTTTTAAAGGTATATTGTTTCCAACACCGGGTCACTCAGCGCCTCTTTCTGTGCTCTGCTGCTCTGCTTCAAATGGATAAAACATTTCTGATTTCTCTTGAGTTTTCCTCTTTCTGCAGCTGAACCACATTTCCTGGAGCATGGCTGGTCAAGCCCTTGAGCAGTGCCAGAAGGGCAGGGAATGCTGCTCTCTGAGCCTTAAATCAAGGCAAGGGGCAATCTGAGCCTGTCTGCCAGTTTGAGCAGCAGTAATTTGCTTCTCAGAACAAGTGCTGAGGCATCTTTTGAGAGGAATTCTCTTCCACTTCCTATAAAATAAACGCCCCCCTCCACTGGGGGATGCCTCCACTGGGGGAAGGACCCTTCACAAGGCTTCCTAAACATTTGAAGTTACACCTTCCTTTTTGAAAGCAAATCCCAAAGGACACAGTGATCTAGAAACGTGGCACAGGCTCCAAAAACCACAAAATCGCAAAAGTGGAGCCTGACCATATCACCCAGAGCCAGGAGCAGCTGTGTCATTGCTGAGTGCTGAGAAGGAAACCTTGGGGTATCTTGTCCCAAGCTTGGGGGAAATAATATTTTAATTTCTCATTGTTAAACATGTACCTCCAGCTGTGCAGATTATGCCAAGTATTCTAAGCTGCATCCTGCTCTGACATAGGGATGAACCACTAATTAATGAATTTACTAATGAATTGCATTGTTTTTTGAAGTGTGCTATGAGCCAACAGATGAGAACAAGGCCTCGAAGCCCTTCCTCTCAGACAGCTGGAAAGCACTCACATACATTTCCCCCAACCTGCAAGAGCTGAGAGCAATAAACCGGACCCTCGGGAACCCTCTGCCAGCAGGTATTGAATACCCTGAAGGGCCAGTCAGACTTTTGGATAACCTGGATCCTGGAGAAGAGCATTTTCTGCTTCAGCCTGTAGTACAAGCAGAGTAATAAAATAGTGGGGATTCACAAGTGCTCGTGGTGTCTTGCACCCTACAGCCATCTCTGCGTGGGCTGTGTGGACTGATGGCCTGTCAGAGGTCACAGTAGGCCTGGGATGGCTCCTTGCCCAAAACCAGAGATCCCATTTGCCTCATTTCATCWCCTAAACAGGAGTAATATCTGGTTAGTCAATGTGTCTCTGAAGTGTGATGCTCAGAGGGTGCCTGTCCTGGCAGTACCACCCTGTGCAGAAATGAAACACCTACCAAAAGCAGGTGGAAATCCAACTGCATTAAGACAAGAAAGCCATGCTTCAAGGCAGCTTTTTGATCTCTACAGACACACTGTTAGTCCCTTGAGGGTTGGGTTCCTCAACATAGGAGTGCAGTACGGAGCTCTAAGCCTGGAGAATTCCATGTTTCCCACAATATAAAGAAAAAAGCAACCACATTTACCAACCACATTTCAGAAGTGCCCATAAAGAGTGGAAATGTTCATAAATAGGCTGTCAGCCCACAGAAAGGCTGCCTGAGGACCTTTACAGTGACAGAAGTTTCCCCTCTCCTCTCTCTGAAGAGCTGCCATCCAGCTTGGAGGATGTTGTCCGGACTGCAGTGGCCCTGGCCCGCCCTTTGCTGGCCCACCTGCACTGTGTGGTGGTCACCCTGGGTGCTCACGGTGTCCTCCTGTGTGGCAAAAGCCAGGGAGGGAGCATCTCGCTTTATCCAGGRGCTCCTGGACAGGTAAGGGCATGGAAAACTCACTCTGAGCTCTCAATCGCTGCTTTTTTGGACCATATGGTGCTGTTGCTATTTCGGGTGGCGTGGCAGCAGTCCTGGGAAACATGGCATCGCTGCTGGAAAATGTGTGTGTTTGCGGGGTTGGAATTCTCTGAGAGAAAATCGAGTTGTCTGTCCATGGAGTGCTGGCTCCTAGCAGCAGTGTTTAGAGTCAGCCAGAATTAAATGTGTGAATATTCATGAGCGCCAGCTTCGTTTGCAGGAAGCTTCGTTTAAACGATCCAAGTGTGAAAAGAAAAGATTATTGCCTCTTTTTCAGCCTTTTCCTTTTTTTTGTCATACCCTGGGGATCTGGCATGGGGCACAGAAGGTTTTACCAGGGCAATTCTCGCTCGGTCACATTCTCTCCTCTCGCAGGTTGCTGATGCTGCCCGGCTCTGTGCTGCCCACTACCCCGCCATCCCCATCAGCAGAGAGGAGATCGTCAACGTTTCGGGAGCTGGGGACAGGTACATCCTCACTGCTTTGTCCTCCCCTGCCGCCTGTGAAAGGGCCATAATCGCGTTCCTTTGAAATTCCACTGCGACAGCAATGACACTGCTGGAGGAAGAGTCACCAAGGACCTGAGAACAGGGCTGGTTACGGTGATTCCTCRCAAAGCCTGCTAAAAACGTCCCCCGAAGCACCTCGGAAAGCCAGGCTTGCCATTATTAGTTCTGCTTTTCTTTAAGATCCAAGCCTTTCTTGGCAATCTAAGGATTCTGAATTACTCCGGGCTGAGCTGCTAAAAAAGCAAAGTAAACCGCCCTTACATCAAAGCTGTCTTACTAAATAACTGCCTTACTTCCACACTTCTCCAATGGAAGTGGAACTGCCACTCAGTAGCTAAAATGGCCCTGTAAAAGCATTTCATCAGGTTCTGCGTTTGCCTCTGGCAGTTTTGAAGCYTCAGAAGAGTCTGCTGTATAATTCGCCTGGCTGTTCACACAATGCCACAGATAGGAGTGGGAAATGACAGCTATTATTCCTAGCCCCAGTGATCAATTCTCAGTCTGTCAGAGTAATATTTTATTATGCTCCTTGTTAACTTGACAAACTATATGTAGCAGTCAGGTTGTTTTTTTTTTCTCCTTCCTTCATACTCACAGTAATTGATTCTGTGCCTTCATTGCCTTGGGCTAGACCAAAAAGTCTGTATGTGAGAGATATTTCCTTTTCTACTCTTACCTACCAATAACTCAACATAGCAACGCTTCTTTTTTCTCTTATCAGTGGGCAGAATGAAAAGGCTTTTGTGGTTCTTTTACTTAAACATAGAGAGTCATCAATATTTGCCTTAAAATCAATAACTTCTTGCCAAGCTGGTTAGCCCACTTAACAAACCTCAGGGTTTTTCTTCCTAATAATGCCAGCTGCTCCCCTGAACWCCAGAAATCCCTGTTATACAGAATAAGAGTGCCAAAACAGGCTGGAAGTGCTGGGACACTGCACTGCCATACAAGCCATCTCCACAGAATATGAACTGGTGACATGTCCCAAGCCCAGCCTGTTGGCAGTTTCAGAGGAGTGTCACAGAAAAACAGAATGGTTTGGGTTGGAAGGACCCAGAGATCATCTAGTTTGAGCCTTCTGTAATGAGCAGGGACATCCTCAACTGGATCAGGTTGCTCAGAGCCCCATCCAACCAGAGCAGGGGCATCCACCACCTCTCTGGGTGACCTGTTCATGTTTCACCATTCTCATTGTGAAGAATTTCTTCCTAAAACTAATCTAAAATGTAAAGCTTGCCCAGCTTAKCCCCCTCACACTTTGGAAGCACAGGTCAGGGGACAATGCCCACCCAGAAACAGTGACCCAGGGCTCTTCGTGCCTCYTTTCCACCCTTTCTCCATTCCTCCTTTTCCACCCTGTGGCTCTCCCACAGCTCCTGAATGTGGGTGCAGTGTCTGTTTGCTCCTTGCCCCTGGCTGCCCTGACAACGTAACACCACCTGCACACACATGGCATTGCTAGGGGATGCTCCCCCAAATATTTACTCGCAGCTCCTGGAGCTGTTGAGAGATTGAGCACTCTGTGGAAGTCATAATCTTCTGTGCCTTTGTTRTGGATAAAAAGATGCTGAGGTAATCAGGTGGAGTGCAAAATTAGGGCTCATTTTACCTTCCCCATAAATGTGTTTATTAATCCTCCCTGCCATCACATTTTGCTGTCCTTGCTTCTTCCTCTAAAATGTGATTGTCTCTCCATTCTTTGCCTTCTCCTCTATCCTCTCCTAGCTTCTGAACATTGTTACAGTAGTTGCTGTGAATAGTTGCTCCCAGTCTATCACAAACGCAGCATTTTTGCTGGGAAATCTCAAATGAAAAACCACAGYAAATGTTTTCCAAAAATCTGAATTTCCAATCTCATTTCAGCTGTAGATTTCTTTTTCCAGCTATGCCTGCTGTCCCTCTCAGGTAGGTATGGAAACTTTCCCTCTCAGCCCATCCAACCTTTAGGGGAGAGGAGGCACCAACATAATGAGGACACAAKGAGCCACAAGAAACAGAGAAGTGACAAAATAACTAGAGAGCAAGGGAAAATTAGATTCTTTCTTTCTTAAATGCCTTTCTTTTCTCCTGCCTCACCCAGAAAACTGATGAGAAAAGAAAATGTGGTGCAAGAGGAAGTACCTCAACGTTTCAGATGAGAAGCACATAAAATGCAAATAAATTACACTATTTTGTACTCTGAGTTTAAAAATAAATATAGAAAAAGCCAAACTCGTTCATTATGACCTCATCCCTCCTGTGTGACATAGAGTGCTGCTGTAAGTGCTGGTTTGGGTGCAAATGAAAGCCTTACAGGTGAGCAGCCACATTCCTGAGTTCAAAGCTGTTCCCCCTGTGTTCAAAACCACTTTTCTTTCTCTCCACAGCCTAATGGCAGGAATCCTGGCTGGGATGCTTGCTAAACACGACACAGGCACGTGTGTCCGGATGGGTCTGCTGGCTGCCAGTTTGTCTCTYCGCTCCTATGAACCCATTTCCCCAGAAATCAGCCCTGCCAGTGTCAGCCAGGAGCAAGTCAAGAGCAGGAGCTGGCCAGAGGCGAAGGTATGGAAGATGGACTAAAGCAGGGTGCCTTTCTCATCTATCACCTCAATGCATTCCTGTTTTCAGGAATTGTGTTTTGAGCTTTGGGCTCAAAAGCTGGACACTGACCGGGAAACTTGAACATTCAGTACTTTTTGGAAGGTGAAGTTTTTTATGGAGTGCATTTGGTGACACCTGGTACTGCACTGCTCACATTTATATTGTTTTGCCCTGTCCTTTTGGATTTCATTTGGTGGGTTACACCAGCCACAGCAAGGTTCTGTCCGCTGCCTATGGACAGAATCTCAACTTCTCCCCACCCCCCATCTAAAGGGAAAACTCATCTGTTTTGGCCATGAGTAAACCCTCAGGGAAGRAGGCCTCAACCCAGGGAGCTCCTGTGGAAAGAAAAGTTGGTTTCTGGTCTTCCAGCCCTCCTGCTCTTGTGGCCTCCAGGCCATCTAGATTTTCTGTTGAGGGAATTTTCTTCCACCTCGTGTCACTGTTGTCCATTGCCACAGGAGCTCCTCTGTCACTGACTCCTGGATTTTCAGGACTGTGGCTCCTCAGTTGGGCCCAGCAGCAACATCTTCTCTTGCTGCTTACTCTTTTCTGTCCAAGAGATCCCATGGATCACAGCCTGTGGCAGGAACTGTGGGATAACCCCATCCATCTTCCCAAGCCCTCCAGCACACACCACATTTTCTTGCTCTCAAGTCCAATGCTCCTGGAGAAAGACTAAGCAAAGGGGGGTAACCAGAGATTAGCTGGTGGCCTTTGGAATTTGACAGCCCCTCATTCCACGTGTCTTCCTCCAAACTTGGGCCTTCCTTCCTTCTTTAGTCCAGGAGTATCAAATCTGAAGTGAGAGAGCAGAGGGAGCAAAGGCATCTCCCATGGAAGCAATGAGGAAAGTCACCTTCTCTCTCTGAGCATGTAACGTGCAGGGTGAAACTGCAGGTATCAACAGTTTTATAAACACTGAAACTCATTAAAATTAATTTCTGTTAGAGCTGGGTGTTGGTTCTGGCTGGTTCTTGAACCTGACTGATGGTAAACCTGGAGCACAGACCCACCCTTGATTTTTTCCTCACCCGTCAGTGAGGTCCCTGGGAGAGGAGCAGATCCCTGGGGTCTGACACAGCCCCAAAGCCACCCCAAGCTTCATCAGGGCAGCTCTGACCCCACTTTCCTGGTGGACTCTGCTATTTCAGAAGTGAGCTCCCACTGCAATGGATGGAGGCATTAACTGGGTGCCTTTTTCCAGTCCATTTCACCAGGCTCACAGMAATTCCTTCCCTCTTAGCCCAGCACCTCTCCATCAGCCACAGAAACATCAGCTCCCCCTTTACCCAGACCTTGCTGGTGACTGGTTTATCTGAAAGATTCTGTGCTCAGATGCCACAAACCCATGTGTGTGCCCGGGACCGAGCAGGGACAGGATGGCCGTGGCAGAAGGGTCTGGGATGTTTGGGAACACGAGGGAGGGGAAGCAGCAGGGTGGGTGGGACACAGCAGGGGCGGGGGAAAGGGYTGTGCCCCCAAGGTATGGCCCTGCACTATAAAACTTACTCCAGCTGGATCCAGAGTCAGGGGGGAAAAGCATTTTCCACCTCTGCTGCTGCCTCCAMCAGCCTTGTCCAGGCAAGAGGACCCTGAGCAAAGGCAGGAGCTGAGGATGAAGATCCAGGCACTGAGAGTCACCACACTCTTCCTGGTGCTGCTCTGCACAGCCCCAGCACCATCTGGGGGCCAGGCTGGCAACCTGGAGAGGCAGGCAGGGGCTGGGGACCCTGGACAAGCCCCTGGAGATGGAAGGGACAAGCTGCCTGGGCAGGACTCAGAGAGGAGCCACCCTCTGGCCGGCGCATGGAAGACGATGAGAGAGGCACAGGGCAGCTCCAGGYCCCCCAGCAAGGCCATGGCCAAAGCCCTGGTGGGCACTGGGGAGCAGGTTCCCCTTGGCAGGCCCTGGAGGATCCCACAGCAGCCCTCCCACAGCAGGACAGCGAGGCTGAGCCACCAGCTGAGGGACTACGGCAAGTTCAACAGCGACACGGTGAGCACGGCCTGGAGGGGTTTGGGGTGGTTTGTGGGGTGAGCAGAGGTGTCAGTCAGGATCAGACAGGGCTGAGGGCAGCAGGAGCAGGTGCTGAGCATGCCATGGTCCTGCAAACACCAGGCAGAACAGGTGCTGTCAAGGCTGTTYCTCATAAACTGCATGTAAAGGTGACAGTGACAGCAAGGCCTCCCAGCACAGCCTGGCTCTGACAAGGGGACAGTGACACCCCCAGGTGCCCAGCTGGTGCCTGGCAAGGCTTAGAGCTGATCTGATGGCTGTGAGTGCAGCTTGGCTGTCCCCATGCTGCCCTCAGAGCTCAGGGACAGCCCTGCCCCGGCCCCAGCCCCTGAAGGCTCTCCACATTCTCTCATTCTCCCCAGCCCCTGGAGGTTCTCCAGTCTCTCATTCTCCCCAGCCCCTGCAGGCTCTCCACATTCTCACATTCTCCCCAGCCCCTGCAGGTTCTCCACATTCTCACATTCTCCCCAGCCCCTGCAGGTTCTCCACATTCTCACATTCTCCCCAGCCCCTGCAGGTTCTCCAGTCTCTCATTCTCCCCAGCCCTGCAGGCTCTCCAGTCTCACATTCTCCCCAGCCCCTGGAGGTTCTCCAATCTCACATTCTCCTCCTGCAGCACCAACACAAAGCTCTCTGAGCTCTGCAATGTGGTCACCAAGCCCTGAGGGGCACAGCTCCTCTGAGCACCGCCCTGAGGGAGGCACACAGCTTCTCTGCCCATGGGAAATCTGCTCCATGGGCTCAGCACGGCATCCCACCAATAACCAACTTCTCCTTGATCAAACTCAAACCACCCTTTGGTGGCTCACAAGCACATCTCGCCTTAACCACCGAGAGCTGGGTGATGCTGTGCCAGGTGCCACTCAGCTCAGGGGGCGGGTGACACCGCAGCAAAAGAGCAGAGGCAGTGGGAGGGGTGGGGGACAGCTCAGAGAACTTTCAGCCAAACTCAGTAAGGAACTGGCCCAGCTTCCCCAGCTCCTTGCATGGGGCTGCTGCTCTGGAGAGCTGCTGGCCCTGCTGCAGTGACGGTGCTGCTGTGGCTGGGCTGGTCCTGGGCTGGCCATGGCTGCAGTGGCCACCACAGCCACCCCTGTCCCTGTCCCTGTCCCTGTCCCTGCAGCACTCCTGCCACAGCATCGTGTCCCAGCGCTGCCAGAAGCCCTCAGACTGCGGGGGCTGCCTGGGGCTCTACACCTGCAAGCTGCCAGCTGGCACCTGCAGCCTGAAATCCGTCTCCAGGCAGAGAGGTAAGGTCCAAATCCCTCGGCAAATGGCACCAGGGACTCCCACGTGCAGCAAAGTGCAACCACTCCAAGCCCAAAATTCTGCCCAGGGCTGTCTGTCTGTTCTGCCAGCCTCAGCTACAGAAGGAAAAACTGCACGGTGGATGGGATGTTCTCAAAAGCTTCTGCAAGGGCTGGGATGTCACAGGTGTCCTGAGCTATCACGAGACACCAAAAGGCTGTGCAGGAAAGCCAAGGAGGGGCACGGGGATTGGGATTTTGCCAGTGGCTAGGGAGTCAGCAAGCACAGTCCTGCACGTGGTGAGCCCTGCAGAGCCGCTCGTGGTGGGGTGTGAGAGCTGCTGAATTAGCCAGGGAGCAGAGATAACAAGAGAAAACAGCTTTTAATGTTTAACCAGTGTTCTAGCTCTCCAGTACCCTTTGGTAAATCCATACTGCCCCCACAWTGGCCTCTTGCCTCAGGGAACCACRTGCACGTGGTCACGGAATAGRAACTCATGCASGGGTGCTAAACACAGAGACCYAGCTGTGGTCTGCTCCTTYCAGGAGCAGGAAACTCCTGGTTGCAGMCTGTAGAGCAGGCAATTTTAATGTTTTGGTTGTGTACAGCATTGCCTGTGTGTGCACAGCTCACAGGGTACCCCAGGGTGTGTGCTTGGGTCACTCTGCTCTGGTCAGAGGCTGGCAGCCTCTACAGGAGGACACACAGGCCCATGGTCAGACCCAGCACAGGTGATCTCGTGGYTTCTCTTCACAGGTGGCTTCCTCCAGAGCATACAGGGCCTTTAGATGGAGAGCCCGGCTCATCTCAGAGCGGCATAGCTCGAAATAAAGCTGAAGAGGTTGTCCTGCAGCTGGAGATCAACGCTTCCTGTCCAAGTTTCATTTGAAATCATTAATGATTCACACTTGTAAATGTTTCCTTCACTGCACTTCTCATGCTGCTGCTTTTAAACACCCCCTTTGGATTTTGCTCACTACTTGATCCCYGCTTTCCTGAGAGGGGGCAATGAAAGCACTGAGTGGTCACAGAGCCCTGTGCTGGCAGAACCCCCTTGGAGCTCCCAAATGAGACAAWCAGGGCTGTGAAACAGCCCTTTAGGATATTGCAGTAAGAACTATCGGTACCTCAGCATGCTCACACACCAGCTCCAGCTGAGCTAAGCTTTGGGCAGCCTGGGATCCCTCCCTGCTCCTCAACACAGCTCCTGCCAAGGAAGGACAAGTCCCACAATGCTGAAAACAGCTCCTGAGGAGGGGAAAGCAGAGTCCCCAGCCTTGGTAGTGTGGGGCCATGTAAGAGACCCGCTTCTGAAGGCTGGAGTCAAGGCACAATCAAATTTATTTTGATTCCCACAGAACTTTGCAGGCATCCTGGCCACCTTTACACACGTGGGGGTGCACCCCAGCTTTGCAGAATCTCRTAATGCTTCCATTAAAACCTCCTTCTGAAAACAGAACCAAAGCACAGCGTTTGACTCTCCTTGAAGCCCACTGCAGTTCCTTTGGGTGAGCAACCACCACCTCCTGGGATTGTGAGGTGGCACCAGTTTCGTTCAGTACACACGAGGGACAGCCCCCACACCTTCCAGCTGGTCACCCCTGCGTGGGGGGCAAATGCTGCTGGCTTCTCTGAGYCCCTCCATCAGTGCTTCCTCTGTCCCCGCACAGAATCTGGGGGGGGCACAGGTGCTGCCTGCCCASCCCCTGCCTGGTGTGACACCAYGGCTGTGCRCATTYACCRTGCTCACGGCAGGACCAGAGAGGKTGAGCTGGSAAGGGACCTGTGGAGGTCACCTGGGCCATGCCCCTCCTCAAGCAGGGCCACCCAGAGCCATCTGCCTGGTCCCCAGAGCGGCACAAGTCCCCCAGTGCTCACCCATCACAGCCCACTCCCTTGTCCTCAAACACCACACGGGAAGAGGGGGCTGCTGTAGGAAACTCAAGTTTCCTGCACCCTGCAAGCGCAGGCTTCAAAGGATTCCCAGAGCAGCACYGCACCCAGCACCCTGCTCCAGTGTGGAATGGAGGTGAGCCCCTCTAAACCCTGGTCCTCTCACCTGGCCAAGCCCAGGAGCACAGGAGCAGGGGGATCATTTTCTGGGAGTGCAGCACAGCCCAGCGTGGCACGGCCACAGCAAAGACACCCACACGAAGCTTCCACCCATGTTAGCTGGGAAAAAAACTCCTGCAAAGACCAGACTCCAGCTGCTCCCAACTCTGCTCTCACCAGCAGTGCAAGGGTAAGAGCTTTCACACCAGCTGGAAAAGTCCCCCACCCTGCTTCAGCCTCCACTCAACTTCCCTGTCACCTCCTCACCAAAGGAGGTCAGCACGGACAGAGGAGAGGCGAGCAGGAGGCTCCTGCCCAGCCAGGAGCACAGAATCAGCAGCACATGGGTTGCCCTGGCCCTTTTCTCTTTTCCTACTGTGGTCCCCAGCAGCAGCACCCAGGAGAGGAGATGAAAGCCCACCCAGCCTTTGGGAAGTGTGAGAAGATCCTGCAGGTGAGCTCCACCTTGGGCTCCCCCGGCAAGCTGCCCAGGGAGGGAACGAGCCCACCCCACCTCTGGGACTCAGAGGAACTGAGGACCTGGCCAAGTGTGGGTTTCAGCTGCTCGATGTCCTCTCTGGCTCATGCCCAGCGCCAGGTGGGATGGTGGGA